TTTGTTGTGTTTTTTTTTTTGTTCATCTTGGGCGTCTTTTAGAAGTGTGGGACTTTCCACCCCCGGTCTTCCGCCCCCCCCCGCTGGAGGGGGGGGAAATTCTGGGAGTTGAAGTCCACTCATCTTAAAGTGGCCAAGTTTGGACAACACTGAAGTATGTCATTTGAGGGATGATGCCAGAGGACAACTGCCCTCTCCAGTTCCAGGGCAATTGTCAATAAGAAGTTGAGGGTTCAATCCGGTTGGAAAGGCAAGGCAAACTCCCTACAACTCTGAGTCCAAGTTTAAAGGATACGCTAGCTGCGAATTATGGGAACTGAAGTCTTGCCCATCTGACATGCACTAAGCTGGAAAGGTTTAAAAAATTGCTCCTGAAACGAGACACGTAGGACCAATATGCACAACTGTACTACATAACCGGGGACCAGATCGATCTGGCAGCGGCATTCAGCTCGTCCCGCTGATAGCGCCCGGTCGGAATTCTTCCCCGGGGCTACGAATTTTTTCAACCGCGCGGAGCGTCCGCCCATTCTGAGCCGCGACGCGGCGGCGAGCGAGGGAGACGCAGGTTCAGACACCGGGTTCGCACGGCACTAGGACCCAGAGGCCAAGGCGGGCAACAGCGGAAGTCCGAAGAAGTGGAGGCGACTGGCACTTACCATGGAGGCCGAAGAAGAACCTCCGGCCGGACGTCGCTTACTCAGGTATCTGCAAGGGAGGGGGGAACGGGCGTGGTGGTGGGGATGAGGGAGCTTAAAGGAGCCGCCTTTCCCGGGGGACGGGTGGTTGGAGGGCACGCCGGAAGTGCTGGAAGGCCGGGCGTCCTCTCCTCCCTCACTCCCGCGCCTTTGCCATGTGCGGCTCCGGGCGGCAGCGTCGGACGGCGTCCCCGGGCCGCCCTGGCATTAGAAGCCTGGCGCTTCGCTCTGGGAAGCCTGCTTGCACCCGCGGTGCTGCAGCAGTGTTTTCGGCCGGGCAGGGCGGAAATAGAGGCTGTTCTCTCACGATCACGGGCCTACAAACTCGCCGACTGCTTTTTAGTGGGTCGTGCGAACCCACTCGGTTCGCTCAGTTGGCTCCGCCTTAGAAATGCCTCAAATTTTATTGAGCTCGTTCCTTTTCTCTTAGTAGGAGTCACTTTTTTCCAGTAATTGTAACTGTCGGGCCTTCATGGGCCTGTTGTCCCCATGGGGATTGATGAGGAAGAGAGGAGGGTAGCAAATTGCAGGGAGAGAGAGGTCGAGATAGGCAGAATAATTCAGGTAACTTCAAGAGCCTAAGAACAAAGCAGAATGTGTGGGTGTGTAAAGGTATATACAGTATGGTAAAAATGGGAAGAAATGAGGAAGCATCACAAAAATCCCCAACATATTTCATCATCACTTCCATCTCTTTGGCCTGTGGTGAAATGAACTAAACTAAACCTATTTTAAACTATTTTAAAAAGTAAATAACTATTAAGGATGGTAAATCCAAGAAGAGAGTTTGAGGAATTCCAGATGGATCTCACTAAAATGAGCAAAAGAGCCCCAAAATAGATGTAGGGTGGGCATTTTGGCAAAAAGGGTACATACACCTGCAGACTGGCGGAGTAGGAGCTGACAGTGATTGTCCTAATAAGGAAAGGTTACAACTTTAAAATTTTTAATTTAGAAAAAAGATTAGAAGTGTGGACGCTTATGAATGGTATAAAAAGAAATTATCTTCATCATACTAGAACCTGGGGTTATTCGGGGAAACCGAATGGTAGGAAATTTAGGAAGAGTAAAAGGAAGTGGTTCACAGCAGTTGTTGGAATTGACTATAGTAGGAAATAGAAGTGCTGGCCAAATTGACCTATGGTCTGAACCACCACGGTTTAGCATATTTGAAGAATCCATCATGGATAAGTTGGATATTTGAGTGATTATACTTACTTTCTCTCCCTGCCGCCCCATGAAGTCCAGCAGAACTGCTGGCAGCTCGAACACGTGACCACAAGATCCCCCAGCGCTCACTTGGTCAGAAAGATTTCATTCCTGATGGATCAGAAGAACAAGAATCAAAGCTGCATCAATGCCGGAAAGAACACTGGCAACTTTTGGAGGAGGAACGTGTAGTGCGGTTGTATGTATTAATCATACCTAGAACTGAACTGCTAAACTATCAGTTAATTTAGAATGTTTTGCCTAGTTTTTTTTAGCTTTTCCAGTTTTAAAAAAGGACTCTGTTAGTAGGACTGGGAAAAACTTCTTGATCTAGCAAACTGGAGAGTTACAAACAATTCTCAAAGATATAGTTTTTAGCTAAATAATTGTGAAGATGGTTGCTTCACGATTTCAGGCACATCTAGAGTTTGGACCCATTTGAGCGAGACTTTAGTTGGAATATGACACTGAGACTGCTTTTGTTGTCTTGTTGAATGATCAACGTACAAAACTGGGAAGAGGAAGCTGGATATATTAAATGCTTTTGACATTATTGGCCATAGAATCCTTGATTGTGTTGCTGCTCTTAGGCATGTATGTGTGTGTGTGTAAGGGTATATAGTAACAGAGAGACAACTCTCTGTCACAATGCTTCTGGATTTTCCTGTCCCACCATATTCAGAAGGTAGTATGGAAAAGAGTTATTTAACATTATTGACAGGTTCTTTCTTATTCTCTGTGCTCAATATTTCCATGAAATAGCTGGGAATAGTCATTTAGAGGTTTAGATAGATGTATCAATGATACATTTACGTACTAAACCCTGTTGCAGCTTAATATACCTCCAAGATAGTGGTCCATAGTGTTAAACATTAGACTTAGTAAAGAGATGGATGATGGTCAACAAGCTCTGTTTAAATCCAAACAAAACAAAAGTGGTTTTGGTCAGTAGAAAATCAGCTCAGGAATTGGGATTCATTTCTCCCCAGGATGTTGCATTTCCTCTGAAAGCTGTATAGTTCAATCCTACATTGTCCCTGGATTTCTAAATGGCAACAGCAACTCCAAATACCACACTCGTGCAGTTAGATTTTATCTGTAGGCTACAGCCATTCATGTGCAGATAGAACTTAGCAAGAATTATCAATGTTTTGGCTGCATCACAGCTAAACCTTTGCACATGCTGTACATTGGTTAAAAAAATTAAAAGGTAGAATATAAATTTTATGAAGAGGCATACATGGCTACATCTGGATGCTTCAGTTGGTGCAAATGTGGCAGTTTGGTTGTTGATTGGTGCATGTATTGTGATTATATCTGACATATGGAGAGGTCTGCACTATTTGCCAATTTTCTGGGTTAAATTGGAGGAGTAGGTTTTCTCTTTAAAAGCCCAAGTGCTTAGGGACTGCCTGAGGGACCACCTCTCTTGTTATGAACCTACCTGGTTACAGACATTTGCAAGAAGCCCCTTGCAAAAATGTCCTTTCTTGAGGTACATGGGGAGGTGCTTTCTCCTCTCTTTCTCACTTGGTACCAGATTATCTATCCTGAAGTAAACCAATGTCATATAAGGGGTTGTAGGCTGCTTTTCTAAGGTATCCTGGCATTCTGTAATTATTTCATAATGAAATAGGTTAATTTATTTAAAATTTTAGAGGCAAGAGATCATAAGTACACTATGATCTAGACACCAACAAATTATTTCTTCCTAGATCTCTGTCTTTTCTATCAGCTGTTCCATGCTGATAGACAATGGATCTTGGGGGAAGAGCTGCATCCTCTGCTCTATGTTTCTGCATGGTAGTTCGGGGTCTGCTTCTTGACCTATTTTAAGAAGATGAAAATCTTGTGCTTCCTGCTAAGATTAAAATAACTTCTTAACTCTTTTTCAACCAAGGAAATAGATACATTGGAGAATGATCAAATACAGACTATCCTTTTTAAATTTCTTTTGTAGGGGAAGTCTGGTAAAGGCTGAATGGAAGCCCCAGGAGAGTATTGTGGAGCTGAAATCCCCTGCAGTAAGTCTTGCTATCTTTTTTATGATGTCATTCCTGCTCAATTTACTGTTATCAGCTTCTGTCTCAGAGCAGCACACACACCAATAGCCAGAGGCTTCTTTCAGACCAGAGCCAGACATAATAGGGTCGACTTCAGTTTATGTTCTGAGCCTTGTATATTATGACATTGCCACTGAATAATGTGTGTCCTCTCTCTTTGCATGTTACTCAGAATAAAAACTGTATTTGCAATGTTTAGCTTGCAGCTGTGGCACTGTTTATATTGGAACCAGCTATGATTCTTGGAAGGTGATATGTAGATAAGGAAGATATGGGATGAGCAAATGAAATCTGTTAACCCTTACTCTTGGTTCCTTTCCTGCCCCCCATAGTGGTCTAAAAAAACAGCAGTTTTGAGAGGTAAGACAACAAGAATATACTTGTCTCACCTCCAAAAATTCAAGCTCTGACTTGGGAGAACTGGACATCAGGCTAACTCCCCTCGCCACCTGCCCCACCCCCAGACAATAGGCTGCATAGAGACACAAAACAGAATTGTGGGATTTTATGTTCCCTAACTGTAATTCAAGCCTTTGGCCCAATGATGAAATTCCCCTCTTCAATCCAATCCTAATCCAGATGGAGAAGCTCTGACTGAATCATGAAGTGAAAGGAAGCCTAGAACATCTCCAATTCTCCTGGGGTTATTTTGTCCTTTTTGAAATATTTGTAAAGGTTAGGATTGATCTCATAAACTGACATGGCATTGTTGTCATTAGGGGAAATTCTGGCATACCATGGGGTTTGCACAGCATGGAAAGCAGTGTCTGCTTCCAGAAGAAGCCTTGTATCTCCTGGAATGTGTAAGTAAATCAGATTCGAAAGCTTATGGAGCAGTTTTATGTAACTAAATATCTCCCCTCTTCCTCTGACTTGACAAACAGTTCCAAAGTTTGTCACAGAATAATTATGTAAAATAAAAAAGGAAAAAAGGTTGCATAAGTATCTGGAAAACAGGATTAGGGTGGTGGGGCTTAGAGCAACTACAGCCATCATAACAAACACCTTTTCAAGAATTAGGGAAGAAAGCTGTTCAGGGGAGTTGGCTTTCTGTCTCAATCTCATACTAATGGGAACATCTGAAATGGTAATGTAATCACACTACTAAAAGTGGTTGCAATCTCCATACGATTGAGAATCCTGCACAATCAGTGCTCCCAATTACACATAACTTCTGAATACTGCCACATCTTCACTTCAGACCTTTCTTGTCAACATGCAGGTTGGGATGAGCAGAACTGGAGGAAAAGTTGCCATCTCCCTTTCCCTGATATTGCACTATTAGTTCTTCCTGCAAAAAGCACATGTGTTTGAAACATATGAATGTAGATGCATTTATAAATAGCAATGTACAGTTCTTGGAATTGGATAATGTCAAAATTGCTATTCTCATTGCAGTTGTTTTTGTGGTATTTGGCCCAAGTGGCCCACACATTGTATAATTCTGTGTGATCATTTTATAAACCATACTGTAAAACCAGTTCTTGTAATTTGACATCTCAGGTAGTCTGCAGTTAAAGACCACTCATTCGGCAACCATTCAGTTATGACAGTGCTGAACAAGTGGTACTTATGACCAGTCCTTGAAGTTTTGGCTGACACAGCACCCCCACAATCATGTGATTGCGATTCAGCCGCTTGGCAACTGACTTGCACTTGTGACAGTTGCAGCGTCCCACGATCATATGATCACCATTTGTGACCTTCCCTGCTGGCTTCCCACAAGCAAAGTCAGTGGGGAAGCTGGCCGATAAGGTTGCAAGTCACTCCTGCTCCTGTCACTTTTTCTCCCAAGAAACCCTGCTATGAGATCCTGGGGATCTCATACTCCATAGTGCATGTGCATCTACCCGCGACACCCCCCTGCGCACACTCTGTAGCACACACCTGCTGGGCCACAGCACGCATCAGCATGTAACACCCCACTCATGCTGCAATGCACCCCCATGCCTGGCCATGCCCGCATCAGGGTGCAGCGCCCACTCCCTGGCAACTTGCACTCCGCAGCACTCACTTGTCTGCTGCCCTGCTTGCAAGCCACCTAAGGCTTGTCGTAACCAGGAATTGCAACTTCCTACCAGCTTCCCCATTGATTTTGTTTGTTGGAAGCCAGCAGGAAGTTGCAAGTCCTGGTCATGTGAGGTCCTCACTTAACAACCCATAATCCTCGCTTAATGACAGGAACAGGGACTGCCAGGATGCCGTAGCTACACAATGTGGTCACATGATGTTGCACTTTACATGCGCATCATTAAGCAGCAGAAATTCCAGTCCCAGGTACCGTTGTTAAGTGAGGACTACTTGTACAGACATCCAAAATGACATGAAGTTCCTCTGGCAGAATGAGCAAGCTGGTGTAGCGTAGTTCTTCAGGCCCCAGGGAATATCAGTGGCAATCACAGCAAAAGTAGTTTTGCCCAGATGGTAGTTCCTGAACATTAAGCTTTTTTTCTTACAGGGATCCCTTCAGTTGTTCTATAAAGACCTGCCTTTGTCAGTCCAGGAAGCCTATGAGAATCTGCTGTCTCCAAAGTCAGTCAGCCTACTAAAATACCAGGTGCCTTTCAAAATTTGGAGTTCAACAACTATGGAAGTAAAATTTGGGAATTTAAAAAAAGCGTTCAATTTCAAAGCAGGCAATTCTGCTGTAATTATATTATCACCATTAGTTGTGCAGTTAAGTTGACATGGAAGGGTATGTGGTGATATTCCATTGACGTTTGGGGCTTAACTGTTTATACAACAATTTAGTAGTGAGCCTAGACTTCAGTAGCTGAGTCAGAGAAGATGAATGCTGCTGTCCAGCCTTATTTTCAAAAGGACAGTAGATCTACTCTGGAGTATGATATCTTGATGGCATTCCCTAAAAAGTGGAGTAGACTGAAAAGGGGAATTGATGTTCTGATTAAAAACCTGTTTCTAGTGCTTGCTAACCAACCTAATCCTGCCTTTGGAGCACCAAGAATGGGTATTTGCCTAAATACTTGAAGTTGCAGTCCAACCTAGATATTGCGGTATAGTCCTGAGCAAATACAGTATTGGGCCTAAGGTGCAGAATTCAGGCAAGTGTCCTTAGCTTTTCCAGCTTGCCCATTGACTTGATGGTTGACTGAAAAACATACTGTTGTTTTATTATTTTAGAACATAAGTTTTTAGTAATTTTTCATAACTCCATGTATGTAATTGCTAAATTATGCCTGTTGTAAATATTATTATATAGTTTCTTCCTTATTTTTAAGAGGTAGTTTGTTTAAAAAAAATAGCAGATATCAGTGAAACATTTCTATGGTTCTGTTAAGCTTATTCAGCTGAGACTTCTTCTGTGTTAAGATTTGGATCCTTGCTGACCTAGGGGTACAAAAGCTCTTTAGTTAAATTTGTGATCTTCTCTAGGTGGGTGAAAAAACAGTGTTTGTTTTGCTCAAATGAAAAGAGTGATCACTGTTAGATTTTAAAAGTGCTGCAGCATGTTAACCACCATCTTTGTATCATATTATTGCTTTGACGACCCAACACTTTTGCATGATAATCCTGTATGTTTACTCAGAAGTTAAAAAAGTAAAGTTTTTCTCAGATGGAGTTCAACTCCTGGTAACTACATGGATACGCCCATGTTTACTTGGCAACTTTATGGAAATAGTTTGCCACAGCTTCCTTCTGGTGATTCAGAAGGCTGATCAGTCCGGTAGATACTGCAGCCCTAATGCCCTGTGCTTTGTGAAGGCTGCAAGTTGAATCAGTTAAATTTGTTTTGTGGAATTGATTTTAATGTATTTAAAGCTTTGTTTTGAAAGGAATCTGGTTGCGTGACAAATGCATATTTAGCAGTGTGTGTTTGATATAGATACACCTTGTTAAAAACTGGAAAATCTACAAATCATCCTACCAGACGGTAGACAATGCATGTGTGAGCCACCCATTAACGTGAAGGTGGCTTTAATTTACACACAGTTCAGAAAAAAAAATAGTTTAGTAATTGAATTTCTAAAGAATGTAGAGTCATGTCCTTTCTCATGTGAACTCCTTACATTTCATCCCTATTGTAAGGTATATAGCCACTTGAAGCGACTGGGTTACATCGTTTTGAGATTCCATTTCAGGTAATTGTTTGACAATAGTTTTCCCTTTCCCCTGGCAGTATGTCCATTATACATCTCTTTAACTTTGCACGTTTGCTCCTTCTTCTCCCCTCTCAATATCCCTGCTTCCCAAGATGATTGCATTTCTCTCTCAGTCTTAACTGTAACTGAGCTGGTGGTTAATCAGTGAAGAAGAGGAGGAAAGTTTGCTTTCCTAGTGTGACTTGTAGCTGTCTCTGTACTGATTGTTTTGATCTCTCACTCTTTTTGGGGGGGTCTCCTTTACAGCACTATTCCAACCCCTTATGAGAGGCAGCTGAATCTGGATAGCCACTACCAAAGTACAGAGAGAGGCGGCCACAAGAGGAGAAGGAGCTCCAGTCCTCGGTAAAAGCATGTGGGCAATGGGAGTGATGTCCTTGACAAGCTAGCCCAAGGTGGGCATAGAATTAAGCACTGAGAAATGCATCCATTTGTTCTTCATATTTGTCTCTTGCTATAATAAAAATAAAGTTTTACTTTAAAACAGAAGGAGAGCCAGTGGCCCTCCAGATACTGCTGAACACAACTTCTAGCAACCCCAGCCAACATGGCCAGTAGTGTCATATACTGGGAGTACCTGAAGATCATAGCTTCCTGATCCCTGATTTTACAAAGGAAAGATTAGCTGAAGTTAGTAAGAGGAACACACCAGAACACACATCTGTGTGACTTTGCCCACTGTTTTTTTTTTTTTAAATCAGGAGTGACTGCTGTGGGCGACAGACTACATAAGGTGGGATCATCCTGTTGCCATTTCAAGCACATACGAGGTCAGCAAACATTTTGAGGGCAGTTGTTCAGGACTTTGAAGTAAGGTCATCGTTACACTGGTAACACCAAGTTCTCTTTTTCTGGGTTATCTTAATTAAGTGAGGATATGGAGATGCAAAATCACTATCTGGATTGGCAATGGGATAAATGAGGACCAATAAGTTAAAGTAAAGTCCCAAGAAGATGGAAACTTTATTGGTAAACAGGTGGTTTGCAGCTTTAAAGATTTGGTGTTTGATGTATTCTGGATGAGAGTGCATGCCCACTGAAGAAGCTGGTACATAGCATTAGATACCACTTAATCCAAAATATCAGTAAGTGAGTTCAGAACATCCCTTACCATTTGTTTCTGGCACATAGCTATGCCCTTTCCTGGGATAACCCTGCTATGGTGGATTTATGCTCTAAAAATGTTTAAATATATGGGCTGTCCTCAAAAATAGTTAAGATGCTTCAAGTTGTTCAGAATTCAACTGACTTAGCTAGTTTAACCAACTATTAGGGAATTAAATTAATAATTATTATTTAATAATAATTTATTAAACGTATGCTGCCCGACTCTGGGTGGTTCACAACAATCAAACAAAAAAATTACAAAAAAACATAAAAGAGATGGTGAGTCCACATAGTGATGCTGTCACCTTTAAACCGCCAGTTTGATCCAGCACCTAAGGAGTTACATTTTTGGTTCAAGTGCTTTAAATGTTTAGAGCTTTGGGAATTGATTGAATTGTTGGTAAAAAAAAAATGATAAAATTGGTAAAATGATTAAAAATAAATGTAATATAATTACTACCATCCTTTTGGATGAAGGACAGTTTATAAGTAATGTGTTTGAATAATTCTGTGATAGTAAAAGATAACCTGTGCCCATGTTTTAATCCACTTCTCTTTAATAAGGTTGCAAGACAAGAAACCCAAACCGTCTGAGAAATCCCAGGAATGGTCACCTAAAAAGGCCAAGATCCATCATGGTAATTCCAGCCCTCCAGCATTAGATGGCTCACCCAAAGCAAGAATAAAGGCATCAGATGCAAAAACTGAAAATATAGAGTTGGTCCCATCTTCAAGTGTCACAAAAGAATGCAGTGAATTGCCCACTTGTGTTCAAGACTACAAAGAGACACGTAGCAAGACCGTTGGGGAAAGCCATAATGATGTCTGTGCATCCAGGTGGAATTTCACCTCTATTGATTTTCCTAACATGGGTGCCGATTACCCTCAAGTCTTCCTGCCAGAGCCTGATAAGAGGCTCCTCCCAGAGAACATAACAGCACGGGCAATTGATGCAAGCCCCTGGTGCAGGCGGCTCAACCAGAAACATGAGAGGTTGACTCGCAAGGAACAGGAGCAGCTGAAGTGGGAGAGCAGATACAAAAGGAGTATCAACGAGGATGTGGAAGTCAGGCGCTGCACCACCTGGCAAGAGTACAAGGCACTTCTGAGAGAGAGGAGCGGCCTGGCAGATCTCTGCACACAGCCAGTCACCCCACTTGTGAAACCAAACCAAGGGCTCTCCACAGGTATTGTAGTTTCTGAAAAAGAAGGGTCTGGCCTTTGTTCTCTTTGAAGAAGGATGCATGTGGCCTTGCTGAAGGTGGTGGGTATTTCTGAATGTCAGAATAGCTGGCTTGGCTGCAGAGGCATGTTTTGTGAAGGCCCTAATCCAGATTTCTTGTCTTTCCTTCCCTCTAGCTGACATCCTTCAACAGATCAATGTTTTCCAACCCTCACACTTATTAGAGGAAGCATTTCAGTAAGTATCAAACCAGAAAATGGGCTAAATGCTTTTAATCTCTCTCAATAATTCTAGGTATGAGCAACAATAATAGGATGCAGAATACACCATGCTAGCTACAGCTGCTGGCAGTTCAGGTTCAGCAACTTCTGGAGGGCCACATATAATCCTGTCATATAGTGTATACCTGGAATGTTCACTTCAAGGCATTACAAATTATTAGGGCTGTTTACCATTGGAAAATGATCTGGCAGAAGTGGCTCTGCCCTTATGTGAGTGCAACATCTCTCTGCTGTTCATTAAAGCAGCATTTTTCATGGTTGAACAGGAACCTGAAAAAAAGTCTGGCTGCTTTAATGAGTAGCAGAGAGATGCTGTGCTTATGTGTGATCCAAAGGACATCCTCCAAATCATTTTCCCAGCATGCACAGCTCTACAAACTCTACTGTATGTCAGAAGCATTACTTGAAAGGCCAGCGCTTAGACTTAAGTCCCAAGACACTATGGACTTATAGTGCAATTGACCCAATCCAGAAACAAGACAGTTAATTCCTACTGGCTTCTAAGGTGTTTCATGCAGTGTACCATAATGAATGTTTCTTGTCTTCTAAAATTTCAGTTGTTAAATTTGTAATTCTACTTTATTTCATGTATGTGTTTTTCAGTGGCTTTTGATTTTTAAAAGTAAATAAGAGTCAAATAGACATACATCTGCTGGCCTTAAGTGTAGCTTTCCAAACTTTGTGTTCTCCAGATGTTGTTGGACTAGAATTTCCATTGTCCCCAAGCTAGTAAGGAAGCAGATGGAGTTGGGGAAGTATGCTTTACTTTTTTTCAGCACATAGTATTTTCTGGGGAATCCTCATGCACTTAGGCTTTAGGTGATAGAGATACCTGGAATCTTAAAATTTATCTCACTGAGTTTTGGTCTCTATCTTAATGCAAATGCTTTCTAATTTAAGAAGGCAGTTTGGTCTTTACTGTAATTATGCAAATAGAATTTGGCATGCTACATAGTTAGGAAGGTAAACTTGAGGATCATGCTACACTAATTATTCAGAGTACAACTGGCTGCCTGCTCTCTCTTTTTTTTTTTTTGACACTAGAACAAGCCCATGGGATCCTCTGTACTGAAAACATTGAATGTTTGCGGAGAAGGGATATAATTTTTTCCACTATCCATTCCACTGCTTGCTCCATAATTCCACTCTTAAGAAACCATTTTAAAGTTTACTCTTGAGTCAGATACATCATCCTGCCAAGTTCCTTTCCTTGCCATTATGTTCACTTTCAGTATGGACTATCTGCCTGACTTCAGGGATAGATAATGTTTTAGTGGGTGGGGACTGAGAGTAACATTTTGGGGAGTCTGACAGCTGTGACTGTTTATTATTGATTTTGTCAACATGTATGCTGTGTCAGTAAGTGACTCTAGGCAGCTTACATCATAGGGTTAAAACACCTGGTAAATAACTGCTGAAAACAAACAAAACTGAAAGAATACATGGCACACATCAGGGAGAAAAAGAGCATTAACCAATTCCCCACCAAACTATCCTCAGAGAGCAAGCCCCTCCATCCAACCCAGGTCCTAACAAAAGAGCCAGGTTTTTACAGAGTTGGGCCAGTGATGGAAACCGCATTATTTAGGGAAGTTCTGGTGGGGAATTCTTAGTATAAAAGAATAGCATACAACCTACGCTACAGTTTTCATGTGCTTTCTGGCTCAAAATAGTGAGATGTTATGTCCCCAATTTTCAGCATTATCTGTTTGAGACTTCAGGGGTTGCCAAAAAGGGGTGTGGAATGCTAATTACAGTTCCTGCTCAGATTTGCTGTACCTGAAGATTTTTTTTTCCTTTCCCTTCCTTTGGCACATCAGAGAATGTCCAAGTTTGTGTACTAATAGTTAACCTCCTCCACAGATTACAGAATCATTCATCACAGCTAAAGATAGACTTTGATGTATATCATGCTGATGAAGCTTCAATTTTTAAAAAGAATGATCCTGGGAAGCCTTATGTACGGATGTGCGTTCAAAGGTACTAGGTGCTTATAATCTAATTTAAATCTGTTACAGAGTTTGCTCATGTGTTTACATGGCTTGTCCTGTTTGGGTTTGATGGAAAACAGGAAGAAAGAGTCAGTGATTGTCCAGTTTGCGGCACACCTGTTGAAGTAGTTGAATGGCTGCCCAAACAGACTAAGGACTTCAGATCCCAGTCCACGTTGAAACCAGATCCCCGGCATATGAAGCAGTACTGGCTGTGTTATTGGTTTTCTTGCTCTAACCAAGGGGATCTGAAATGCTTTTAAAAAAATAAATAGACCTCTGTTTCCTTAGAACATAAATGTTCTGTCCTTGCTTCCAGATACAGTGATGCTTTTTATGATGTGGCTTTTTAAAAATGCATTGTTGTCAAACAGAAAAAAAAAAATCATTCTTTTTGCAGGTTTGATGAGCAGGTCCCATCCCTGAAAGTTGTGAAGCAACTATCTTATCAAAGTGGAGATGTTCCAGTGGTGTTTGCTTTAGTTGACAATGGAAACATCGCTTTCTTCTCTTTTAAGGAGTTCAAATTGCCAACTGATGTTTATCCCTGATACTGATGCTGTCATTTGGAGAAGCTGTTTTATGAATGGGTGTGTTGAAACAAGATTACTCAGGGCTTGACTTTGTTCTATTGGATATTGCCTGGAATTCTGACTAACAGCACTGTGCTGCCAAAGGACATACGTTCTGTATAACAAGAGCCTAAAAGGAAAGAACTGTTCCAACAAAACCTCTTCTGATTAGAAACACACAGTTATTTTATTCTTTTAATCCACAAGTTCTCTGTTTTTAGTCTGCTGATACCTAAAGCAGCATTTCTGCCGATCTGGAACAGTTTACTAATTTGAGCCTAGGCAGAGTCCCATAATATATTTTGGCACCAGCTGAATGTAAAAGTTGGAAACTACTTTCATGATTCACCAAATAGAAAAGACAAAAAAAAAGTCATTTTTTCCTAATAATCTTTAGTTCCAGGCCCAAGTATAACTATGGAACATATGAGAGTAGCTGGATATATAGGTCATTTGTCACTTTTTCTACAAGAAACGAAAGGAGGCTACCAAGTGCATAGTTTGTACAGAATTGATGGAATTATACCACCAATTTCTATTTGCAGATCTATACAATTTGATTTATCTAATTTACTTAGGGTTTGGGCTACTATTAGTGGAATGCTATGATCTGCTTTTGCTTTCTAGCATCACTCCTAGATGCAATTTAAAACTGTTGGAAATTACTGTTTGTATCACCAAGTTTATTTTATACTCTTGGCTGCTATGGGTTTTTTTTCCCCTGATACTGACGTTTTTTCTTTACTATGATATTCCATGGCAGTTGCAATGTTACTAGGATAAAAGGCACTGAATATTTTCTTGTTCAGGAGTAGCTTTCATGAGAAATTTTACACAGAAATTGCAGGAAAAAAATGGATTTTTAGGTTATTTCAGTTTGGCAATAAAATTAGCAATAAGCAATAAAATTCTTTGTGTTAACAGAATTTTGAAGGATTTCATGTAACGTGTTTTCCTTGGCAAAATGAGTGATGAAAATTGTATATTTGTATTCCCATCACAAAAACATCATCAAAAAGCCAAACCACTCATATCAGCACTCATAACAGTCAACTGGAACCAAAGGCTCATTGAAACAGAACTGCTTTGAGCTATTTCTGAAAAATGGGAGCTGTACCTACTTCTGGGCAGAAGGGTGTTCTGCAGACGGGGGGCTATCACAGAGAAGATCCATATCCCATGACCTCATGAAGAGGGAGGACTTCCAGCAGACCCTCTCTGGATGACCATATAGCAGAATTGGCTCTGACAAGGTGTTGTGTGATATATCCCAGTGCTGCAGAATGTAGGTTTTTAAAGATAATAACCAGCGCTTAGAATTGGACCTGGAAATCTTTGGCAGCCAATGCAATGAATTTAATATAAGTGTAATTCTACACTGCCAGGGTTGCCCCACCAGGAGTCCGGCTGCTGTGTTTTATGCCAGCTGGAGCTTCTGTGTCTTCTCTAAAGGAAGTTCCATGCAGAATGCATTGCATTACAGTAGTCCAGTTGGGTGGTGATCAGAGTATAAGTTACTGATATTAAGGCATACGTACCTTGAGGCTTTTTTTAAAGATTTTTTTATCCTGCCTTTCTTATTTTTATAAATAATTCAAAGTGGTGAACATACCTAATACTCTTTCCTCCTCCTATTTTCCTCACAACAACAACCCTGTAAGGTGAGTTGGGCTCAGAGAGAAAGAGTGACTGGCCAAAGTCACCCAGCCAGTTTTTCATGCCTAAGGCAGGACTAGAACTCACAGTCTCCTGATTTCTAGCCTGGTGCCTTAATAGATCAAACTAACTCAACTCAACTCTTCTCTTCCTTTGACTTCTCAACTCAACTCTTCTCTTCCTTTGACTTCTCAACTCAACTCTTCTCTTCCTTTGACTTCTCAACTCAACTCTTCTCTTCCTTTGACTTCTCAACTCAACTCTTCTCTTCCTTTGACTTTTTTTTTTTTTTTTTTACTACTTTGGGGGTGGTTTATAATTGCTACTGTCAACATTTCTAACAATAAAATTTCTTATAATAAGCACTGCATATTTCTCCAAGATAAAATGCCACCAAGTCACTCAAGTGTTAGGAGCCTTCTGAATGCATTTGCATGAGTGTGAATGACTAGAAGAAAGCTTTAATGCATTCAGCTCTATGAGGATTGGCTTCTAAATAAACAATCTGCATTGTCACCATCTTATATCCCATGGAAGCCAATATATACATAGTTGTGTAAAAGCTTGTCTTCTATAGACAGGTGCTCTGTGACATTCTGCAAGAGAACCTCATCATTTGGGTGGTGTGGGCCAGAGATGGTGCTTAGCTGGCCTTCATGTAGAGATGCTCCAGATTTGAGAATATCCGATTAGGGCTAGCAAATAAGGCAATAGGGATTTGGATACTCCTGATTTGTAGAGATGGTAAATTTTGAAGTGCAGCAACTCATTGTGATTGTGAGTATACTCAGTCACCAGTAGTAGACAGTACAATAACCAAATGATTAGTCTCAGCCTTTCACTTTTATGTAGGAGTAAGACCCCATGACAGATGGAGGCAGTAGGCCTGCCTTAAAAACCTTTTTGATTCAACTACACAATTAACTTTAATGTGAAGAGAATAGAAGGGAGTACTTCTTTTCTACACAAATTGTTTTCCAGCCTAATTTACTGTTGTATTCAGTCTTGAATCAGGCTTTGTGTATACCTGCCTTAGTGAAAGAACGCAAGACAAAAGCAGAGAATGGGAGTGGGTTTCTGAACAAACTCTTAGTAGCCTTTAATTCCAATCCATATATTGTGTATTTCTCTCTGTTTCCAAATGAAAACTGGCATCAAGGATGTGGACTGAAAGGTAAAATAAATTTAGGAGAGATGTTAGCAAAGATCAAATCCTTACATATGGCTGAAGGGCATCTTGGCTGTAGTTTAAAACTGTTCTAAGATGCTTTGATGTACAAAGGGATACATATAGCTGTAATAAGTTGGAGCAAGAAGATTGTGTAGCTGTGACATCAAGGATGAGTTAATTAACATGCTAGGCTAAAATGTGGTTGGCTAGATTGTAGTTCAGGATACTGTATTGCAAACCTAGCCAGTATACAGTGGGGCAAAAAAGTATTTAGTCAGCCACCAGTTGTGCAAATTCTCCCACTTAAAAAGATGAGAGAGGCCTGTAATTTTCATCATAGGTATACCAGAAGTAGTTACAGGTAAGTAACTACAGTGGGGCAAAAAGTATTTAGTCAGCCACCAGTTGTGCAAATTCTCCCACTTAAAAAGATGAGAGAGGCCTGTAATTTTCATCATAGGTATACCAGAAGTAGTTACAGGTAAGTAACTACAGTGGGGCAAAAAGTATTTAGTCAGCCACCAGTTGTGCAAATTCTCCCACTTAAAAAGATGAGAGAGGCCTGTAATTTTCATCATAGGTATACCAGAAGTAGTTACAGGTAAGTAACTACAGTGGGGCAAAAAGTATTTAGTCAGCCACCAGTTGTGCAAATTCTCCCACTTAAAAAGATGAGAGAGGCCTGTAATTTTCATCATAGGTATACCAGAAGTAGTTACAGGTAAGTAACTACAGTGGGGCAAAAAGTATTTAGTCAGCCACCAGTTGTGCAAATTCTCCCACTTAAAAAGATGAGAGAGGCCTGTAATTTTCATCATAGGTATACCAGAAGTAGTTACAGGTGTATACCTATGATGAAAATTACAGGCCTCTCTTATCTTTTTAAGTGGGAGAACTTGCACAATTGGTGGCTGACTAAATACTTTTTGCCCCACTGTAGTTACTTACCATAAGTCATGTGAATCTAGGCAATGAGTTAATTCAGTACAGTATCCTGACAATATTAATTTTAGAATTGTAAAGAAAAGTAATACATGACTTATTTAGCCTATTGCCTTCCAGATGTATTGGAGAGCACCCAATTGGAGAAATGTATTTTAACAGGTGAGATCATGATGTGCTAAGAAGCTCAAAGACCAAAAGGGAGAGTGGGTAGGATGATTAACATGCGGTGGAACATCTTTTTTCTGGTGGTCCCATTACGTGCTGCTTTGGTTGGTCCCATCCATCACATTTTTCCCAAAATGGATAAACAGATCCAAAGGCATTTCCATATCTGCCAAATTGGATAAATCTTCCCAGGAATAGAACTCTGTCTCTTTAAAAAGGCTCCCTGTAAAACTTGAACTTTAACTATTAAAAATATATTTATACCTTGTTTCTCTATAAAAATTACCATTGATCTGACACACAATGGCTTCCATTATTATGATCATTCCCCATCACAACCGCCCTTAAGCACAAATAGGAGGTGCACATGGACAAATGCATGAAATCTTATTAGAAGAGGGAAAGGAAAAGGATAATTGAGGTAAGTGTAGTTTTATACATGCCTATTTAATCACATAGATATGTATAAAATATCAGCCCTATTATATCACATAGGACTTGTTCCCATGTAAGGAATATATAGAACTGCTGATAAAAATGTCAGTCTTAAACACTTTCACCTATGAACGGTGCCAAAAAACCCTATTTGGCAGTTCATTCTCTTAGTGGACAAAAGAGGAAACTTGTTTTTTGCACTTTTAAAAAATAAATGTTTATTGCTTTCAATGCTTTTTGCACTTGAACATTTATAGTTTCTTACTTTTTAAAAATAATCTCTGGAGCTGATCAGGGATTGGTTTCCTGACAACCAAGTAAGATAATGCAGAATTATCTTAAAATGTAACATATATAGTGCAATTTGTTGCAGCCAGTCCAGCAGGATTTGCTCACATCATGATGGCTTATAAATCTGAATTTCAGGCATTGTTGATTTGGTGACAGAATGACTGCTCTGAGGCAGTTTGTACTCCTTGAAGCACAAAGATTACATTCTGATGAAGGCAGGAAAATAACAATTTATTCTGCAATGCTGGTGTTTCCAGTTGGACACTACTTAATCATATATTCCATACTGTAGTGTCACAAAAAGGTAAATGAGGTAGTCATTTGGTTCAATTTCAGTCTTTGTTCTAACTAAGCAAAAAGGCCTTCAGTTGTTTGTTGAAAAACACCACCAGCAAAACAAAATTAAGATGAACGAGGCAGGAAATCCCCAGGGATTAAACTCAACTCACTCTGCTAATATTCAGCTGATACTAAATGTTTGCTCCTTTTCCTTTTGATGCTTCTCTAGGGTCTTCATGGAGCACAGTGCGACTTCTAGTCTTTATGACATCAGAACATAGTGGTCAGCTGATTAGCTTTGTATAATTGAAAACAATCAGCAAATGCAGCCTGATAACTGCAATATATCTAGAAGAAATATCAAATGCCAAACAGGATGCTTTGTATTGTAAATTCCGCAGAAGGAATGGGAACAATGAGTGTGATTACTTACTGTAATGGCAAAACTAGAAATAGTAATATTAGAAAATACTCTGTTTATTTTGAAATAACATAGAACATAATATTCAAAATGTTATTGCATGACTACTAATCACACCTTTTAAAAAACACAGTCACAACTGCTAGGCACTGATTTAAAGGTGTACTTTCTATAATGTCTCAATTTTTTAAGACTTGGAACCTGACCCTAAACACAGTGATCTGGTTCCTACATCTGACTGGATAAAGTTGTAATTTTAAAAATCATGAACGTTGATTAAGCCACAGTTGTCTGCATTCACTCAGCATATTAAACTACAATGTCCTTTATTTGATTTGATATAGCTGATGTGCGAACTGAGTTCAATGTATGCTACTTCCTAGTAGTTTTATTCTATGCATGTCCTGTGCTTTTTAAGCTCTCTGTTAACTCTAGCCTTAAGGTCAAGGTTTGTTCATCTCTTTGCTTCTCAGCTAGATGATAAAACATCCGGTACTCTCAGCACTCACAAGCAGCAACGAATTATAAATATCACAGTTGAAAGGGTATTGTGACCCTGTAAAACATTATGAAAAATACAATGGTGTAAGACAGCCAGTTGGGCGTAGTGCTGAAGGGGCTGGCCTAGAAACCAGGAGACTCTGTTCTAGGCCTTCCTTAGGCATGAAAGCTGGCTGGGTGGCTTTCAGCCAGTCCTTGTCTCTCAGGCCAGCCCACTTCACAGGGTTGTTGTTGGGAAAATAGGAGATGGGAGTACAGTCTCACCTAGGTTCACCTCGAGTTGTTATATATTTATACACGCACACTCACACGTGTGTGTAGGCAAAAACCTAATAATAGTATTGTAATAACCCACTGTTCTGCTGTATATCTGTATGGAAGATATTCATGGCTTGTACGTGGAAATAGGTGTATTAATTCGAGAAAACTTTAAGGACCATTAATTCTATCATGATATTCTTACCATGAATTGTCAGGAAAAGCCCCTTAAATCATTGATTGCCTTTATTACATAAGTGGGGAGAGGCAGAAAACTGGGCAAAACTCAAGATGGTGAACCTAACTGAATTGAGAATGCGAATGAAAACGTCAGTTTCAAGGAAAGAAGCCTGATTTTATCCTTTTGGTACCGCGTACTTACAGGGCGACAGGCAATGCATTTTTCTCCTCCAGAATCTACGAATGCTTGCTTATAAATCACGAGTCGGTGTACGTCCCGACGTCGCCTACTCTGGAAGGCCGCAACCGAATATTTGGATGGAAAGAAATGCAATTTGATCAAATTCAGATCTGCTTTTAGCAGTTCATTCAGCTCGCAATGAATGAAAACAGAGAACAATGCAAATGTATCTTCGCATTCTAGAATCAGTCGTAAGTGACCTCACGTACTGAGAACCTCCACGGTCGCTTTCAATGCCCCTTTGTACCCGGCTGCTACACCGTCTCCACTACCGGAAAAAGGTACGCCCAGGACGTGGCGGATATGGGGCGTGGCCAGCGCTCATTACAAAAAGCCATTCAGAAATCAGATCGAACTTAGCCCACAGCGCTCTGAGCGTAATTCCCACCCCTCTGTGGTCGACACTGTGTTTTCTATTGGTTGTAGGCAAAGCGAGAAGAAGGTTCTCTGCTTCCCGATTGGCCTGGACGGCGTAGAGGTGAGCAAAATTAATTATTCACGAGCCGCGCTGGGGTTGAAAGCAAGGCGCCGTGCGAACCACGCCCTTCTAATTTACATACCAGCGGGCACGCCCCTCCCGGAGGTATCCAGGAAGGAGAGGCGGCCGCGGCGACGCGAGGAGGAGTTGTGGTGTGTTGGGGACGCTGCAGGGTAGGTGGTTTAGCGCGAGTCTTCCGGTGGGCGCGCGCGGG